AACACTTTGCTCTGCTCTGGAGGGTTCTGTGCCTCAGTTTCCCTGTGTCTAAAATGGGCATAACCTGTGCAAAGCCCCGGGACATGCACAAGTGAAAAGGTCTCGCCCCCCCCACTAATCACCTCGTTTCTGTTTAGTCAGAGACCTGAGGCGTCAGGCTGAGCCCTGAAATCGAGCCCCAATTGGCCCCCGCTCAGCAGGACGGGTCAGACCACTCGAGGTGGGCCCAAGAGGGGCAGGCTGAAGGGGTGGGTTCAGGACAGGGCCAAGACATTGGCCTGGGGCTCAGGGGATGTGTGTTTCAGGGCCGTAGCTACGGCCAGGCCAAATCGATGCTGAGCTCCTGACTCTTGGCCCCAGCTGGGCATCCGTCAGCCTGGCCACTTGCCTGCAGCATGCATGGCTGCCCTGGTCTCTAGCCCCACCGGGGGGCGGAGTCTCAAGGGGGCAGGTCTGGGCGGGGCTAGCACTGGGGTCAGAAACTGGGGCGGTGTGGCAAGGCTGCCTGCGGAGCAGTAAGGGGGAGAGGCAGGTCCCCCATTCCTCCTGCCCCCTCTTGCCAGGGCCCCAGATCCCTCCTGCCCCCCCTCCTCTTCCTGACCCTTTCACCAAGGCACCAGATACCTCCTGCACCCCTTCCCCTCTGCCCAGGGCACCGGATCCCTCCTGCCCCCCCCCCCCCCTCCCCCTCTCCCCCCGGCTTCCTGCCTCTCTCCCCAGGGCACCGGATCCCTCCCACCCTCCCAGGCTCTGAACCCCCTGGTACCCCCGCCCCTCCCTTCCTGGCCCTCTGCCCAGGGCACCAGATCCCTCCCACCCTCCATGGCGCCGAACCCCCCTGCACACCCAACCACCTGTGCCCAATAACTGGGCCCACCCAGTTCTCCTGTCCTGGCTATGCCACTGGTGCATTCAACCTCCAGTTCTGCCGCTGCCCCGCTGGGGGAACCGAGGAGATGGTGCTGGGGCACTGGCGTTCCCCACCCTGCCATGGGCCAAGTGCTCAAAGGGCCCCATGCCCATCAGGCACCCCCCTTGTGACGAGCCTGGCCCTTCACCTCCCTGTCTCCGTTCTCCGTCTGACGGGCAGCAATGGTCTCCCCCCTCCGAGGGGTCTCCCGGGCTCACTGCCCGGGTCGGCCCCCACGGGGGCTATGAAACTACAGAGCCCCCCTGAGCGTCATGGCTGTGAGCAAAAGGCCCGTTGGGATCCCCCTGCAGGACCAAGGCAGGGGAACCCACAGCTCGGCCTCCAGCCATCCCAGAGGAGTGGGGTTCGGCTTCAGGCCCCCATGAACGAACAGCGGAGCCGGGAGTCCGGGGGCGCTAGGCACAAGGAAACGTGGCCTCGCTGGCAAGCGGCCTGAGCCTGGCTGGGAGGCTGCAGGGCTGGGCTGGCCTGTGCCCCCGCCCGCCAGAGGGAATTGTCCTCATTCCCAGCCCAGCCTGGGAGCTTTTCTGAAAAACCAGCCCGACCTGTTCGCTCTGGGCCCCCATAACACAGCAGGA